ATAAGAAAAAAAAATCCTTAATTTCAAGAAAATAAAACAGCAGACAGAATCTTATTCCATACATTTAGAGGAATTTGAAGTGCTAACAAGAATTTCATTATCATTACTATTTTTATTGAGACATTGTATTTGCACATCTTTATAGGCTACCTTAGGTTAATTCCATACATGTATGCAACACGTGATAGCCATATCAGAGTCATAAGCATTTCCATTTCTTAAATCATTACTCATTTTTACATGCTGGAAGTTTAAACTCTTCTAGTCATTGTTTCTAATAATTTTAAAATATATCACAGATCTTTTCAACTAATCGCTACCCTCATCTTCCAGAGATCTAATTTCACGTTAGCTGTGGTTCATGCACGTATGGTGTTTCCTTCTCTTTGCCCTCTACCCCGCCCTCCTGGTCCATAGCGATGACTCTTCTAATCTGCTCTTCTACATGACTCACCTATTATTTTCTACAATTCAGGGAGAATATGTGATAGTTTTCTAGTTTTCTTCTGGTGTCTGGTTTATTTCACTGAATACAAGACCTCCAGTTCCATTTATATTGCTGAATATGGCTAGATTCATTATTTTTATGGCTCAATATTGTCCTGTTGTGTCCCAGGATACCTTTTAAAGCATCCATCCACTGAAGGGCCTCTAGTTAGATTCCATCATTTAGCTATAATAAATAGTGCTGGGAATGCAAGGAGTTCTGTTTATGTTAGGTTTAGTATTTTAGTATAACAAGTTCATCTCCTTCTGATATACCCAGTAGTAGAAATGCTAGATGATATAGTAGTTCTATTTTTAATGTTTTGAGGAATCTGCATATGGTCTTCCAGAATGGCTGTACTAAAGGGTCCCTTTCTGTGTATCTCTGCCTGCATTAGTTTCCTGGTATTTGTTGCTCTTGTTGTTGTTGTTGTTGTTCTTTTTGTTTTTGTTTTTTGTCTTTTAGATTATAGCCATTCTGACTGGGCTAGGATACTATCAAATTGTGGTTTTGATTTACATTTCTCTTATATATTAGTAAAATTGAGTGTTTTCTTTTCCAAGTATTGGTGGTCACTTCTATAGCTTCTTATGAGAAGCAAATATTTAGTCCTTTTTGGTTTTGTACTGTGGATTGAACACAGAGCCTTCACACTGGGCTACATCTCCAGCCTGTATTTCCTTACTTACTCACTCACCCACTCACTCACTCACTTGCTACTTACACACACACTGAGGCAATGCCCCTGCCTCACCTTTCCAAAGTACTAGACATTCAGGTGTGCACAAGGATGTCAGTCTTTGCTGTTTTTTAAAACTACATTGTTTTGATGTTCAGTTTTTTTAGTTCCCCAAATATTCTGGATGTCAAGCTAATAAATTCCCATGTAGTGCCAAAGCACTGTTGCCAAGATGACCACAAGTGTACCTCAGAATCTGTATCTTATTACAGTATTTCACAATGCTGTGTGGCCTTTTGAAGTGAGGGAGAACTTGTTCTGAATTTAGTAAAGGTGCTCGTACTTAAAAAAAAAAAAAAGAAAAAACCAGCCAGGCTGACGTCAGCAAATGAAAGGGAAGTGCCAGTAGAGGGAGATGAGTAACACTGGAAGGGGAAGCAACCTCAGCTTCCAGGAATGAGCTGTCCCATGGATCAACAAACAGGAAGGAA